TGAACTTTATTTGGTTCATCTAAGACAACCTTAACCAAGATCTTGGGATAATACTGGTGCTTGGTGCCCTGTTATTTCTGGAAAAAAATTAAAGCATATCACAGAACAACGTGAGTTCATATTCCATTGAAACATTTTTACTCCAGGCAAAGTCTTGGTTGATGCAATAATCTCTTCTGTATATTTTTTCTTCTTTTTTTTTTTTTTTTCCTTCCAGTGGTGAAATGTTCACCTCTTGCAGAAATGGATCCTTGATAACACTAGTTGGGAATTTAAGAGTGGTGTTTGATGTGGTCTATGAACAAGTCACTTAATCTGTCATGCACTTCTGGTCTTTACAGGAAAGTGAGGAGGATGAAATTGGCAATCTTGAGCTAGCCTGGGACATGCTGGAGTTAGCAAAAGTCATTTACAAAAGGTAAAGGCTAAAGTTCTAATTTGGGTATATACCACAGAAACTCAGTGTAAATTGAATGGTGGCATAGCCAGTTAGAGAACATGGCATGCTCTGATCAGGATTTGAAAACTATTTTTTTCTTCTGGCTGTAGACAAGAAACAAAAGAAGCTCAGCTCCACGCAGCTCAAGCTCATCTGAAGTTAGGAGAAGTTAGCATTGAATCTGGTAAGCAATGTTAATTCTCATGTGCAAAGTGTTTGGTTCTACTTTCTGTCACTGGGTTTTGTACTTTAAAATGAGCAGAGGTGAGTTAAGGCTGTCAGGATGAGAACAAATTAGATCACAATAGTTGCAGCCATGTGAGAAGCTTTGGAAGTAATGACTGGTGCCTTAAATAGGATAGTCTGTGCTTTTGCAGAGCAGTGGAAAAAATGTTTGAGTAAGAAGCAATGTGTTGCCAGCCTTGTGTTCTGCCTTCTGAAGTGACCAAACCTTGCTTGTGAACTTGAGAGACTTGCTGAAATTGTTATGAAAAATAGTTGACTCTCTTAGACCTTCCCAAATCCTAGGTTATAGTCAGGAAAGACTTTTGTGTTACACAGCAGAAAAAAGGAGTGGGAGGGAAATCCCAGGTTTGTGCCTTGTAATGATTCACTTGCCTTTCATTTAAGAATGTATTCTAATCTTGTTAAATCCAAATGTACACTTTCTCTGGGGCAGGCACTGGAAATAACCCAACAAGGGTTGTGTCTTATGTCAGTGCAGCGCACTGGGGAGAGCTTGGCAGGAAGGTGGCACTGTCCTTAGCTCCAGATCTGTGTTGCAGTTGGGGCCAGTTATGTTCAGTTCTTGGTAGAAGGTAAAGCAGGAGGATTTGGTGCCTGATTTGATATGGCTGCTCAGTTTTCTGTGCTGAAATTAAACAAAGCACTCGTGAGAACCAGAGGAGCCGGCCTAGATGGTCTCTCAGGGGAGGCAGAGTTGTCACCTGATGGTCTGAAAGCAGCCCAGCACTGCTGTGTTCAGTGGTGGTTGTGTTTGCAGTCTGTATAATGTGTAACAAAACACCGAGTAACCAAACCAGGGATTACACGGTGCTGCTGTGGATAATCACTGAGGTTTGTAAAGACCTTGGGGCTTTCTCCTGCAGAAAACTACACACAGGCAATAGAGGAGTTCCAGGCCTGCCTGGCCCTGCAGCAGAAGTACCTGGAGGCCCATGACAGGCTGCTGGCCGAGAGCCACTACCAGCTCGCCCTGGCCTACCACTACAACAGCGACTTCGACGAGGCTGTGCTGCAGTTTGGGAAGTCCATGGAGGTCATAGACAAGAGACTGGGTATGTGGAATTCTGAAGCTGCTGCCTAGTGAGTTTTCACAAGGCAAAGCAGTGGGGTGTGCTCATTGTCTGCTGTGTTGTGTTTTATCTGAAAGTGGCGAGACTACACTGAGGGCAGAATTGGTAAAACTGTTTGTTAGCAGATAGTTGCCTCTGGGTGTTGTTATCTGGGCAGTTACTTTGTCTCAGTGTTTTGCTCTGATAACCGTTTCATCCCAGCAATACTGACTGAGCGAATAAAGAAGGCAGACACTGGGTCCCCTGAGGATGAGAAGGAGATAGAAGAACTGAAGGGACTGCTTCCTGAAATTAAAGAGAAGATAGAAGATTCGAAGGAGTCACAGAAAAGTGCAAAAGTAGCTGAGCTAGGACTGAAAGCAACTCTGGTGAGTGTGTCCTGTGGTTTCCTTTTGACCCAACCCTTCTTCCAGTGGAACTTAGAATAAATCAGTAATGGGAGGAGCTCAGACTTATCAGGGACTGGTGGTTGCTCACAGGTGTTACCAGGCTGTGGTTGTGAGAAGGAAACTGAGGCAGCTGATGTCTGAAGAGGATATTTACTGAGCCCTGATACTAATTGTTCCAAGCTAAACAGGAATTTGATAGGCTTCTGTGGCATTTCATCTATCAGGGCTGGAAATGGTGGGTCAGGCAAATGTGGAGCTCACATTGCATCTGTCCTGTACAGAAGTGCAGAATCCAGTGCTGGGATGAGAAGGACTTGGGCTTTCTGTATCTCACTAAGTTCACATGTATTGTCTGCCACAGTCTGTTTTTTCTGCTTTTCTTAAGGTTGGAACTACATCTGGCTTTGCACAAAGTGAAGACAGTGGCACTGTGTCCACAGTAAGTTAATCTAAAATTAACTTGTTAATTCTCATCTACTCTAAGGATTGCTGGTTGTGTTTGCTCATGTGTCAGTGTCTGTCTTGTAACAGATCCCAGTAAGGAAAGGAGCTGATGCTGCATCTCAGTGTGTAACAGACATCTCTCATCTAGTCAGGAAAAAGGTGAGTCCAGAAATTACTTCTTAAACAAGGAGTTTGTTGAAGTACCACTGGTTTGCTCTGTGTAATAGGATTTGTCTTAAAAGTATGTTTTATTAACTTATCTGTATAATGGCAAAACACCCCAGAAGTAAAACCAGTCGTGTATGGAACTCCTTTCCACTGGGAACCAGTCAGTCTGGTCTCCTGGAGGCCAGGTGGTTCCCATTCTTGGAGGTTCAGCACCCTGCCTGACCCACACTGATGTAAATCTGACCCAGTTGTGTGGCTTCTGCAGGTGTTCCCTGAACAAGAGTTTCCTCTGCTGAGGACCCTCAAGAGCAGCAGGGTCACCTGCAGATCCCAAGGACAAGGCAGGCAACCAGGCTGGGCTGGGTTCCTTTCTTTCCAAAAGGAAATTGGGACTTAGAATTCTAATAAATAGTAAAGCCACACTGGTGGTAATTATAAAGTGCCTCTTTAAGAGATCAGATATTGAGAATTTGGTTCCTTTAAATGTTATCTGTTCTCTAGAAGTGTTTGCTGATGAAAACTAATATAGGTGATACTCTCAGTTTTATGTTGCCCCTGTTCCATTGATCTGTCAGTTGAGGTGTGCCTGGAGTGATTTGGAGCTGCTTTAGGTGATTTCAGGTGTTGTAGATGCCCTGAGTGTACCCTGGAACAGTTACAGGCTCAGTGGTTGCACCTTGCTTTACCAGACTGTAAATAAAGATAACTCTGGAGCTCCTGGCACCCAAAGTGTCCCTGGGGTCTCAAAGCTCTGGTTAAACCCCAGCACTGGGGAGTCTGTGCTGAGCCTGGCAAGCAGAGGTTGGGTAGATGATGTGCAGTGACATCTAATGCTAAATTTCTCAAAAGGATTTAAACTTTGATTTGTACTTAGTGGACATTATAAACAATTTTGTCTTCAGAGGAAACCAGAGGAGGAGACTCATCAGGGAGACAATGAAGCCAAGAAATCTAAACCAGAACCAGCTGTCAATGGTGGTGGTGGGGACTCTGTCCCCCGTGGAAATGAGGTTGCAGAAAAAATGGAAGAGGAGGTGGGCAGCTGAGCCAGGAGTCTGCCTGTGCTTTTTATTTTATTTCCCCACTCTCTGTTCAGGGATGGTTCTGTGCCTGGTAGATGTCCTGGTTTTATTGCCTGCTGTCCTTCACAAGGTTTCCCAGATGAGATGAAGACTCTTCCTAGTGGGCAGGATGCATGTGGTGCTGGACAGACCCAGCCATGGAGCCTTGTCCCCTGTGGGGTGGGACAGAGACAGGGTCTGGGTGCTTTTTGCTGGGCTCAGCTCCAGCAGAGGGTCTTCCCCCAGTTTTTCATTTTCTGGGTTTTATTACTTACCCCTGGGCTGCACTTGTTACTATCAATGCTTGAGGGTAGTGTTGGGCTCTGGACTGGCAAAGTTCACATAGTTAAGTCTTCAAATTACAGAACCCTTGGGCTTCTGCATGAGTTGGTGCTGTAAGACTGTGTCTTGTCTTTTAAAAACAAACCCTTATCTTCTCTTTTAGACAGAGAAAAGGCCACAAGCAGAATCAGGGGCTGCAGTTGAAAGCACAGTATGATAATGATTCTTTAACCTTGGACACTCCTCTCCTTACAAGGAAAATGGTTTTGTATATAGTGTATTTTTTCACTTTTTGGCAACTTTTGTATGACTTCAATAAAGATTGTAAGCAAATAGTTCCTATTTTGGCCTTCCTCCTGTGACAGGTTCCACCTCTGGTACTGGCTGTCCCCTTGGGATGCAGGCCTCAGCCCTGGCCCACTGCAGGGCTCATGCTCCCTTTAATTTCAGCATTTGCACCCACATCTGCCTCCTTAGGAGCAGAGGGTTGGATGGGTCAGGCAGGGCTGGCTGCTGCAGGGAAGGAGAGCATTGCCTGAGCTTCACTGTCTTGTCCAGGGACCTGACCTTTTTTTCATCTGCTGGGCCCTTGTCACAGCTGGGGCTGTGTTTTGTTCATTCCAGGCTGAACCAAAGTGGGTTCTGATAGTGCCTCCTCAGCTTTGAGCAGCCTAAAGATGGTGGGGGAGGCTGATAAAGAAAGAGCTTTGTAACATCCTTGGCTTTGTTGCTGTGTATTTTTATCTTAGCTCAACCTCCACTTTGCACCCAGGAGGGAGTGCAGGAGCAGGTGCTGATGGTTGGGGACAGGGGCAGCAGGGCTGTCCCCTGAGCCAGCTGGAGTGCCCAGGTGGGGCTGGGACCCTGCCCTGGGTTGTGTGTATAAAAAAAGGCCAAGAAGTGAAAAGCAAAGAGCTGAAGCCTTTTATTAAACATGTAGCACAGGGCCTCTGACACTTTGTAAAGCTGGCTGTGGCTTCTGTGCTGGTTCCTAGGACTGAGCTGTGCATGCCCTGGGTTAGGCTTTCCCTACAGAGGGCTGCATGTGGGGATGTGCCTGAGGACAGGGAATTTATTTTATTCCTCTGTGCCCTCTGCCTGTCCCCAAACCACTACTGTGAGCGTGAGTGGTTGAACCACTCCTTTGGCTGTGGGCTCTGTGTTGAGGTGGAGGCTGAGCTGTCAGTTTGCTGCTGGCTTGGGGGTTTGCCTGTCCTTTTCCTGCTGAAATGCCCAGAGCCTCTTTGGTCCCAGCAGTGATCCCATACACTTCCACCCACCCCAGCACTGTGGGATCCTGGTACTAGCTGCACAACTGGTCCCTGAACCCATCTCTGCAGCTGGAACACAGCTTTTGCCTTCATCACCCTAACAGGTACTGGAGCCCCAGTTTGCTGCTGGAGGGGGTGGCAGGGCAGTCCAGTGGGGTCATGGCCTGTTCCTGGCTCACCTTTGGGGAGCCCTGTCCTGTGCTGGGGGCTCCTGAGCAGGAGGAGGGTCCTCCAGGGCCACAAAGGGGGTGAGGGGGTGTCCAGGGGGCACATGGGCTGTGGCTCTGCCAGGCCCCAGTGCTGGCCTGGGGGGCTCCTGGGAAAGGAAAAAAGTGATGTCAGGGGGAGGAGGGTCCTGGCAGGGTGGGAGCTGCCTGGCCCCTCACATGTGGCATGGGGTGTGCAGAGCAAATCACACCCCTGGTCCAGCACTGGTGGGGACTCACCTCCTGCCCCAGTGGCTCTATCCCCAAGTGCAGCAAAGGGAGCTGTTCCTAAATATCCCCAAGCTTGTACCTCCATACCCATCATCCCGTCCCAGCTGGCAGCCCAATCCCAACTTCCCTCTCTCCTCCTTGGAGAGCTGGAAGTTGCCCTGGGCTGAGGCTCTTACCGTGAGAAATTCTGGCACAGCCGGGGCTGGTGGCAGTGGATGGGCTACAGGGTAAGGGCAGACAGAGGGGTGCATCCATGGCCTTGTCTGCTCTGCGTGGCATCGCAGCATCCCCACCTCTGCCTGGAGCCGGGCCAGTTCCTGCGTGTGCCGCTGGGCTGCCTGTGAGCCTGGCCAACAGCATTTGGTCACCGTGGGGTTTACAGCAGCCATTTTCCTGGCACCTCACCAGGCCCGTGTTCAGGGCTCCATGGGACCAGGACTCTCCCTGCTCACTGCAGCAAACCCACCCCGAGCTGTAGCCCCCCTCCACCTGCCAATATTTCCAGGAGCCATCTCCAGCCCAGAGCTCTGATACTGCAGCCACAGAGGCAGCTGGGGGCTGTGGGGGGCAGATGAGGAACGCATCACCTACCAGCATCTGCTCTCCTCTCCCTTCTGACCTTCAGTGCCAACAGTTCATCTTCCAGACGCTGGTTCTCCAGCTCCATGGCCAGTAGTGCTGCATCCAGACTGTGAGTGCCAGTGCTGGGGGGCTCTGCTGGCACAGCCCGGGGTGCCTCAGCTGCTGTCTGGGGCCGTGGTAACTGATGGGGGACAGGCCTGGGCCTGGTGATGGCGCTTACCCATCTGCCTACCCCTGTGCAGCCCCGCCGTTCCTTTCTCCAGCACCGTGGCCTCCAGCTGGAGGTGGAGGAGCTGGTCCAGGATGGCCGGGTCGTGTCCCCCGGAGTGCAAGTAGGACACTCGCAGTGCCCTGCCGGAGCCCCGGCTCAGCCATTGCCCGGGCTCAGCTGGGCGCTCCGCTCGGAGCCGCCATTGCCCACAGACCTCACCTGGCCTCGGCCGCGAGCGGCCCTGCGGGTGGAAGGAGGGTGTCGAGGTCTAGGGTGGCCCTGGGGAGGAGATAGCTGGGGGTGAGGGAGCCTTGATCGAGAGCACCCCGCAGGGCCAGAGCTGTGCTGTGACCCCCTCAGGCCTCACCGGTGCTGTGCTGTTTGGACATGTCCGGCCTGGTCCCTCAGGCCTTGGCTCGGCTCGGGCTCCCCCTGCTCGGGCTCCCCCTGCTCAGCCCTGGCCCCCAGGGTCGCCAGCTGCCGGCACAGCCCTGAGGGACCGTGAGAGGCCGGGGGGCTCAGCACGGCCCCCACAGCCCCACTATTGGGGTTACTGCATCCCATACGAGCCTCCCCAGCACCCCAAAACCATTGCCGGGCCCTACCCTCTCTCTGCCGCTCCAGCTGCCGGGTGCTGGCCCGGATCTCGGCCACCTGGCGTTCGTGGGCTTCCAGCAGCTCCTGCGGCGGCTGCCGCTGTTCCTGCCGTGGGGGCGGCTGCCGGGGGGGCTCTCCCTGCGGCACACGGGGGTCAGCGGGAAGGAGGGGCTGGCCCGCAGCCCTGGGGCTGCTGCTGTCCGCCCTGGCATTCAGGATTCACCGTACCTCTCCTGGCAGCCTCCTAGCGGTGGGGTTGGCCGTGCGGAGCAAGGCCCTCTCGCGGGGGGTCAGCACATCCCCCAGGGGAGCTCCCCGTGCCCGCCCTGGTCCCTGCTGTCCCCGCGGAGCTGGTGCGACCCCACGAGGCACAAAGTGATGGCGTGGCTCAGCGTTGTCCGTATTTTGGGACACTCCGGCCTCGCAGACACAAAGGGAAGAAAAAGGTGACACTCCCTCCCCCAATTTCCCCCTCAAAAATGTTCTTTTCTGGTTTCAGCAAAATAAGCACCAAGGGCTGCCTGTGTGGTGCAGACATGGGAAGATGGAGGCTTACCCAGCTGGATCCAGGATGTGATTCCCAGTTTCCCAGCCCAGCACCTGTCCCCATCCCCATTCTGTGCCAGACCCAGCTCCACACTACCGACAAGTCCTGTGGTTTCCTTGCCGTGCCCTGCGCTCCCTCCGCAGGCAGCGGGTTCCCCCCACGGAGGCCGGAGCTGCTGCTGGGTGCCGTGGGCCCGAGGCACAGCTTCTCCATGTGCACCCGCAGCAGCGGTCGGGACCTGAACGCCAAGCGGCAGCGGGGGCAGAGGAAGGGCCCCATGTCCAACACCCTGGGAAGCAGAGCGGGTGGAGTCACTTGGGGAGGCCACCCTGACAGGCAGAGGGGGTCCCCCCGCGGGGCTGGTACCCCGGGACAGGCTGAAGTGTGCACAGACCTGCTGCTGGCGGTGGCGGCGGTGGCTGCAGTGTTTGAAGCCACTGTTGCTATGCTGGACGCTGGAGGGCCCCGCCCCCAGCCCAGGACATTCCCACTGTTTACCACGGGCACTGGAATGGGGGAAAAATATCGCTGAGGCACCAGAGCAATCCACAGAAAACAAGATGAGGGAGGCCCTGCTGCCCCGTGTCCCTCTGAGGTTACAAAGTGCTCACTGACAGCCATGCTTGCCCTGGCGCTGTCCAGGAGTGCCCCTTGCAGCAGCTCCCACTTAGCAGATTTTAGACTAAGGGGAACCTCCACAGAGAGGTGAAATAGCTTCTTCTGCCCTTTCTTGCCACAGGTGTCCAGGCCCTGCTCTTTTTCTCAAAAAAGCTCCCTGCATTCCATCCCTGCACCCACGTGAGCTCTGCCTGGCAAGTTCCTGCCAGCTTTTCCCCTCACCTCACTGCCAGTGGTACTCAGTATTTGCTCAGGAAAAAGCTGCCATTTGATGGATGGGGACTTGCCCTGCCAGGTTCACCCAGGGGCTGCCACTGCCACCTCCAAAGTTTAATCAATGTTTAAACCCTGCACAGCCCACAGGAGGGTCGGGTGAAGCACAAGGAGCTCCTGGCACACACAGGCCAGGCCAGTCCCACTCCAGGGTGCTCAGCAATCAAATTCCCCCAGTCCAAGTGGATGTCAGCATGGATCTCAGGTGAAGGGGTTTTTAAATTTACCCCAGTTCTTGAGATCAGAGCACACAGATCTGCATAACTTGGTTTAAATACAGGATATAGGAAGTTAAATTTTAAAAAATGGATAGGCTCTTCCAGACAAAAGCAGTGGTTGAATATTCAGAAGGAACAAGATGGTTTGTGCAAAGTCGTACAGGAGCCCCAGCACCTCCCAAGCACTCCCAGGCAGCCTCAGCCCCTGGACCCTGGTTTCCAGAGCACAGGGATGAAGAAATGCTCCACTGCCCCTCTCCTCTGGGGTTCACTGCAGAGCCAGCAGGAACTAGAAGCACAGGTAGCAGACTTACACCCGATAATGCTGAGCATGCACCCTTGGATCCAGATGCAAAGATTCAGGACTAAACGTTATCATTTTCTTGCACCTCTGTCCTCTCTGCCTGGCCAGGAGTGGGTTAAAAACACACAGGCACAACCTTGGGACAAACCCCCTCAGGTCAGCAAGACCAGGTTTTCTGTGACTCTGTCCAACCCCCCTGCAAACACTGCACAACCCCAGAGCACTTTCCAATCCAAAACCTTTGTGCACAAGCTGAACTTACACCAGACACTAAAATAGCTTAGGCCACAACTGAGTTGTTTGTAAAATTCTTTTTAATCTAATAGAAATGTTTTCATGAATTTTTAAAAAAGATTTCAATGAAAACAGCTTTGGATTCAGACATTCCCTTGCCACGTTGTGAACATAAACAGCAGCATTGCACTAGGAACAAGTGACACCGACCGGTCGAGCTTCACCATTTTGTATGAAGCGGAAAAAAAAGCAAACTGCTTTAGTAGAAGATAATTTTGAGTTATTTTCTTTAAAAAAAATCCCCAGATATGGACTGTCATCTCAGCATTGTTCTCCCTCTCCCTTCTTAAAGGAAGAGTTCAGCTCCTGCAGTCTGAGCACTACAGCAATGTTTGCCAAGTGGAAAAATAGAGCGGGAGAAGAAACTGTTTATCCCCAGTGCTACTGAACCCCCAAAGTTGCAGGTCCCTTAGAGGAAAGCTTCTCTTACATAAGAAAGACAATTAGAATTGGCAAACTGATGCAAAATATTTATTCCAAGTTAGTTATTTTTGATGCAGTAGTTTTTCCCCCTCATACAGACTCAATGTGATAGTCACTTTTTAAAATCTGTAAATAATGTTATCAAAATAATCTTAATCTTTGAAATCTCACAAAAAATTTATATTTTACAATCCACCCTGAATATCAAGGCTGCAAGAAGAAGAACACAAACAATTCCTATATCCAAATATTTTACAGCTGTACCCAAAAAAAAAAAAAAAAAGAAAACCACAAACGCCTGGTTAAGTGATGAAGCTCCCCGAGCCGCCAAAAAATAAAATAAAATAAAATATTCATGTTATTAGCATTAATTTAACATAATTAGAACTTCAAAAGCCATTTTGTCATCGACAATGATTGTTTTAGCACACCGTTACCGCGCGCTGGGCAATGCGGCGGCACTGTTAGAAGCTTGTTGTTGCAGAGATCAGTCAGCCACTTGTGTCCTGCTCACACGACTGAACTTGTGCACTGCCCCACAAGGGATTTTTGTCAAAATTTGCTAGCTGCACAAACTTCTAGTAAGCATTAGGGCAAAACCAAAAGAAAAAGCTAAAGAAGCCAATTTCTCTCTTCTTTGGGATACAATTATTTCCCTTGTGCATGAAGTATCAACAACAAAAGAAAAAACTGAACAGACTGGAGACAGAATAAACTCTGTTTAGTTTATACAACCCCAAACACGTGTTGAACTATGAACTGAGTTTTATTGGGTTGGTTTTATTTATTTTAATTTTATTGTGCCCAGTTTTCAGGCATCGTCATCTGACGTTTCGCTGCTACTTGTTTCTGTGTCTGAGTCCTCAATCTTTGTCTTAAAAGTGCTTCCCCAGTGGAACAACAGGCTGGAGCCGCGGCCCTGCAGAAATCCATTCTTCCCAAATCCGTTTCTTCTTCGCTGTAGGAATGAAAGGAAGTTTTAAAAGGAGCAGAAGTGTGGAGAGCAACTGTCACCAACCCTCTGTGGTGGACATGAATGCCACATTTAACTGTGTATGCACACATGGAAAATGCAGAATCATCCATTCTACTACATTCTCCCTTAAATGCTTGGTCCTGCTGAGCACGCTTAAGAACAAGCCCTTGAGAAAGGAGAGGAAGAAGAGCAGTCACAAGTAGCAAGAGCTGTAAACATACCTGCTCTGATTTAATCTGGAACTCTTTGAGCTCATCCTCCGTGAGGGGAAGGTAGTTTTCATCATTTTCAGGATATTCCTGCCATCCCATTTCTTTCAATAACCTGATTGTGGAGAAAATAAAAGGGGCATGGAGAACTAAATCAAGGGAACAATGGCAAAGGAAGGAACCCTTTGTCCATGAAAAGCAAGGTTTTGTAGTAAATCACTCCAAATTCACCAGGGAATCTTCTCTATCACAGACCACTTCAACATTCCTTTGTGTTTACCCACCATTTTTCAATGTCCTTTACAAATATTTAACCATCAGCAGCGCTGTACAATGGGTACATAACCAGCCTGGTGGAAGGCAGGGATTTGAAATTCTAACTCAAGGACACTGAAGAAGGACATGAGGCAACCAAGCCAATATCACAGCTCAGAATCTCCTGAACCTTACTATCTGCTTGCACCAGATGCTCACACTGCTTACTCACTGATGTGAGATACAGCCTGAGATACCAGGTAAATATTTTCCTAACTCTCCTCCACTTTTACAGCATGTAAAGGAGCACAGGAGTATTCTAAGTGCAAACAAAGTGTGGCGTGTGTCTTCAAATCATTACATTTAGGACACCTGCTTGCAAATTAACCAGAATCACCCTTGGTTCATGCTGACTCCCACTGTGGGCAGATAAATATCTCCAGGCAGCATTAACGCATGGAGATGTGGCATTAAAGAAGCACTGGAATTTAATTACAGACCTTGGAAAAGCCTTGGCTCATCTGTCATTGGTGTCTTGTTTTACTTTCAATAAGACCCCACCCAGTCCAGTACTAGTCACAAAGCCCATACACTTCCTTTCTCATAGAAACACAGCCACTGCTGCTTTCCAAAAATAGAGTTTTCCTCAAAATTGTTTCCTTCTCCCCACACAGCCCAAGGATTCACCCTCCCTTACTCCAGACACTATTCTGCCATTGACTCACCTGTGTTCTGCTTCCAATGAATGGGAGAGGTTTTCCCCCTCCTCTGGCAAAGGGAGAGAAAGGCCATTCTGATGGCAGTTCTCTTCCCAGTTTTCCTTTGGTTCTGGTGTGCTGTTGCTCTCCATCTAAAGAAAAATAAAACCATCAAAGTGTGCTTGCACAGACCGTGCCAACAGCACGGTTCCAAGTTCAAGCTTCTGCTTTTGAAAGTCCAGCCAAGCCTTTCACCTTGAGCCAGTGTTTTTCACAGAAGCTGCAGCAACATGTACCTGGCTGTGACAGGACAACACAGGACGAAGGACATTTGGTGGCCTGTGCTGCTGTGCCAAGGGAGTGAGTGCTGGCATTGCAAAGCCATCACCAGCAGCTCAGAGTGACAGCAATAAAAATGAGAATTAAATGCTCCCAAGGACACACATTACATACACATTAAGGCACGGATCTATACATTTGGGGGTCTGGTCTGAGCCCCTGAAACTTGAGCCACATTCCTGCACCTTTCACAAGCACAAAATTCTACTTTTCTGTGAATGCAGTTTGACAGGGAAGTTGGAAAGCAACTTGAGATGTTAAAATATGACACTGTTCCTCTCCTTAAGGAATCCTTGCAAAAAATCTACATTGCCTTCAGTGTCTGTGACCTTCCCTTCCACCTCATTTATTCCTTATCCACTTGCATTTCACTGTGCTACACATCTCCCTCCATCACTGCTGTGCACTATTTCCCCTGGCAGGTATGCCAGACCAGTGGGAGTCATTCCCTTCCTCTTCCAGAGCCTGAATTACATGCACTGCTCAGGGCTTTTTCAGCCCTAACTCCTTCAACAGTAATGATTGTATACACAGCAAGGACAGTGGTCTTACATCATCCAGCTTGTCACATTCCCTGTTTTCTGTTATCTCCCCATTTCTATCATCCTTCAGTGCCTTCAGGAATTCGCTCTTTTTGTCAGTGGTCCGGCGCATCAGCTTCGTCAGGCGTGAGGAGCAGATCTCGATGGGAGGGGTGGTGCTGGAAGGACTCTGCACAGGGAGGGAGAACACAGACATCAAACTGCACTGCTGCAAACCTGAGGCCTCTTCAGTGCCTGTGCTTACACCTTTCAAACACTCATCAGTTCCTTGGGTGGCTCTTAACCCCTCAAAAAGCCCCAACCTAATGTCAAATTCCCATCAAAATACCAATGGGTGTTGCACATTCACTTCTCCCATGTATTATTATCAACTCAATTTCTTTTCTTCCCCTAGGAGTCAATTCACATGGCCATGAATATGTTTATTTTGTTCCTTTGTAATGTAATTCTCGAGCAAGCTGGTGCCTACAACAGATTATTAGGGCAAAAAACTTCATGCACGATTCCTGCCCTACAAAAATTAACAAACGAAGCTGATCAGACTCAGTTCATATTTGTGTTTTAAGTCATCCTGACAGACTCTACCCTGAAATTAAGCTATGGGAGGGTAATCTCCTTTCAGGGAGTGGTCACATCCTTAACTAACCACAGCTGGGTGCGAACAGGCAGCCACAGCCTTGGAATCCTCCCCTGGAGAGAATGCTGCCAGCTGCTGCCTCTGTGCACTCAGCCCAGCTGGTTCAGTGTGGAGCCAGACACAGACAGCCCTGGAGCCTGTGGGAAACCTGCTCAGCTCAGTGCAGGAACACAAAACCTCCTGGGCTCTGCCACAATGTTCAAGCTTTCTTAATAATCTGGAGTCTGTGAACCAGGCCCACTGGCAGTATCTGGCCATGATCCTGCAATAGAAGCACTGCTAACCAAGGTGAGCTTTCAATTTTATCTGTTCCATGTTTTGACTGGGCACACAAAAGGAATCTAAGAACATGTTATGGGAAAGTTCCCAGTATCTTAACTTCCTGCTGGAGTTCATGTCTGGCTACTCTAAAACAATGAGGAATTTAATCATTATTATGGGTAACTGACACCGGAATCTTGCATGCAAAACTACTTTTTCTTCATGTACATGCTTTGATTTTTAAGAAATCAAGATTAAACCAGTAAAATTTCCTCAAGTTTGTAGTGTTTTTCTCCCCACACACTTTTTTTGAAGCTGCGGGGGAAGGCTGCAAATTCAGGCTCTTCAAAATGAATCTCCTGTGCCAAAAATTTTTATCACACTCACTGCTCTGAGCAAAGATCAAGGGAACTAGACCAAAAACAAGGCAGCAACTGCTGCTTGTATTTCCAATGGCTGTTGCATGTGAAACACTGGTGTGAAATAAAGCCTGCAAGGAAGTAAGTGCAGCTTGGAAGTAATTTCTCAGGCAGACCTTCCAGATTTTGTCTAATTCAACACAGTAAGAAACAAATCAGCAGTTGTAACAGACCTAATGAGTGACTGCAACTATCATGGTAAAAAGCCAACACAAGAATGAAATTAAGCTCTCAATGTAACTATTAGTTT